AGATGGGTCGGTGGTAGGTAAATATGCTCTCCCTGAGAGACTGATATGTCTTTTCCTGTTCATTTGTTTTTTTTTTTTTTGGTCTTGTCAACAAACTCACCCATGTGTCTAGCACATAATACTCAGTGTATAATATCTCCAAAATCTAGATTAAGAATATTTCCACTCCTCAAATTTTCTCATCAATCTTTCTTATATTTCATTCTAATCCCTAAGCATAGATACCCATTTATTTTAGTCATAAAACTTTATATTAGTGTTTTCTAAAATGTTATGCAAAGAGTATGCACTATTTGTATCAAGCTTCTTTAATATGTGCTTGAGAATCACTTATATTGTTACATGTATTATCGTTTGTTCTTTTTTAATTGTTGAATACTCTTAATTGTTAATATTTGGTTTTAAACTTTTGCCTATTAACAAAATTGCTATCAGCATATGTTTACAGTCTAGTTTTTTGTGTGTTTTGGTTTGGGGGCCACATCTGGTTGTGCTCATGGATTACTTCTGGCTCTGTGCTCAGGGGTCACTTCTGGAGGGATTCAGGGAACTATATGCAGTTATAGGGATCCAACTGAGTTGGCCATATGCAACGAAGTGCCCTCTCTGCTGTACTTTCTCTCTCTCTCTCTCTCTCTCTCTCTCTCTCTCTCTCTCTCTCTCTCACTTATTTTCAACTAAGGGAGGAATGTCAGGACGATCAGGGTTCACAAGTTTAGAAGAAACTTTCAAATCATTCTTCAATATTTTGATTTCACATTCTTCAATGTGAAACACATTCTTTTTTTTGTAATTAAAAAAAATTTTTTTTTTATTAGTGAAACACCCTGAGGTACAGTTGTAGATTTACAATTTTTTGTGCTTGGGTTTGATTATACAATGATCAGATACCCATCCCTCCACCAGTGCCCATTTTCCACCACCATGGATAATATCCCCCCCACCCCCATCCCCCCATCCCCCATCCCCCTCCCCCCTGCCTCTGTGTTAGGGCAATCCCCTGTGTCTCTCTCTCCTTTTGGGTGTTGTGGTCTGCAAAAGAGGCATTGAGTGGCAAACATGATGAAACACATTCTTTCCATGTGTTTTCACCAACTTACACTCCTCCCAGAAATGCATGTATCACAGTTATTCCATGTTTTCAGCTACACTTGGGATTGTCAGTTATTCTATTTTTGTTTTGTTTTGTTTTGGGGCCACACCTGGTGATGTTCAGGGATCACTCCTTTCAGAGCTCAGGGGACCAAATGGAATTCTTGGGATGAAGCCAGGTTGGCTGTGTGCAAAGGAAGTGCCTTACCCACTGTACTATCTCTCTGTTCCTAGTCCTTCTACTTTGTCTTCCAATGTAGTGTCTCAGTGTAAAAATCACATGCTCAAAGTTTGAAATTAACTTGTCTGGTACTTTGTATCATTAGTTACCTTTTACTATGTAACAAATTACCCCAAATGTTAGCAGCTTGAAATAACAAGCATTTATTGTTTTCCTTAGTTTCTGATGGTTGAAAAGCAGGAGCAGCTTAGCTCATTGGTCTGAGTCTGTCACCAGGTCACTGGTCAGCATTTCCCTGCTGTAGCTAGTTGATGGCTTGACTGTGGCTGGGGCACTGGTTTCCAGGATGCTTCCTGTTCCTTGTTATTTATTGAGAGAGGTTTGACAACAGCAAGGCTCTTATCAGCTGTCCCAGTTCCATTTGCCATGAGGACCTTTTCATGGAGCTGTTCAACTTGGCAGCTGGTTTCTACAGAGCGATCTGAGAGAAAAAGATAGAAAGTGTTTACAGAGCCTATGAAAGTAGGGAGGTTGGGAGTCATCCTGAAAGCTGGTTGACAGACTTGTAGGAGGAACATTTCTTGGTTGAACTGGTATTTGCTTGACACACTTAAGAATTTTATATACATTATCTTATTTATTTTTGGTTTTTGAGTTATACCAGCAATGCTCAGGGCTTACTCCTGGCTTTCTGTCCAGGGATCAGGGCTTACTCCTGGCTTTCTGTTCAGGGATCAATCCGGGCAGACTCGGGGGACCATGTGGGGTGATGGGGATGAAACCTGCATTGGCAGTGTGAAAGACAAATGCCTTACCCACTGTACTTCTGCTCTGGCCCTGTACATCATCTTAACTAACCTTAATAACACCCGATGCACACAGTCCTCATATGACAAAACTGGGGTTAGAAAAGTTAAGTTGGATGGAAAAGATCACATAAGGGTATAACACACGTCTAGTATGTTTGAAGCTCTTGATTCAATTCCCAGCTCCACCAGGAGTAGAGCACATCAGACCTGATTGAGCATGGCTGAAAGTGGCTACAGAAGTGCTAAGTAACCAGGACAGCCCCAATTTAAAATAATAAAATGAAAGCTAAATTGATTGTTCAATTCTGCAAAACTATTTGGCGAAGAGCCAGAGTGTCAAATTGACCCTCTTTAGGCTCCAAAGACTGTGAAAAATGCTTCTATATGAAACAACTGATACCATTTCCATGAACAATTAATTTAGTCTTTGAAATTTTCAAATTTTCTTTGATTTAAGTTGAACTCATTAGGGAAACAAACTTGAAGTTTTAGGAGCGTGGAAACTGAGTAGTTAGAACTGAGACGCCAAGACTCTTCAGGATGACAAGTAGGTTCCCCTATTTTCCGTTGATATGGTACTTCCCTCACCCCCCTTACCTAGCTTATGTTTAAGATCCTTGGCAGATCTTTGGAAGCTAGGAAAGCCAAGAATTCAGACATTGACTTTCCATATAATGAACTCAACACAAGGTTGCTGATCATATATTGTGTGTATGGCAGAGCTAGTTGTAGGCATCTATAAAGACAATACCTGCTATTCAAGAGGTACTTGGACACACTTTCCTTGGGATTAAGATGATGGAAAAATAATCCTAATGCAGAACTATCAGCACCCTGGGGAGGTGGACAAAGAGAATGCTGATTGAGGCATGAGAATTAAAATAAAAAACAACAATCATACACTTAAAGCACATTTAGTGTTTATCAAAATAACTTAGTGAGACAGTCTCTGGAAGTTAATAGAAGATGAAGAAGAGGGTAGCTAGGCCTTTACAGATGTTAAAGGTTGGAAAACTTGAAAACGAAATTATTGCCCTTCCAGATGAGTTAGGAATCATAGTCTTCCACTAGGGGCAGCACAAAATAAGTTTCTGGAATGCAAGATTTGAATCAGGGAGCAGGATTAAGGAGCAAGGTCCAGGTAGTCTTCCCCAAGAATGTGGACATCAAACCAAGACAAACAAAAGAGAGAGGAATGGACAAGGCAATGGAATTTAGGAAGGACGCTTTAAGTGCTATATGGAGATACTGCTGCTGGGACAAAGGTCAGGCACAAGATAGGCAATGGGATTCATTCTCATTGCTTGGGAAGAAAAAAGCTCTTCTGCTAAGATTTTTGGCAGTTACTGGTGGTGGGTGGATGTGGCTTGGGGATTGGGGGATTGAACTGAGGAGTTTTGTCCAAGCACGTGAGACCACTTGAACTATCTTCTCAGTCCCCTCTCGGTAACATCTGAAAGGATCCATGCTTCTCAGTCACCCCGGGAAAACCAATTCCTGTAGTTAGAACTGAACGGAGACTGCAACCACAGATACCTTGGGCCAGTCGGACTCAATTTGCCTTGATCTCTGAGCATGCTCTGGGTTTTGGCTTCTGCAGAAACGTGGATGGATCCGTGGCAGCAAATTTTAATTTCACCCACTGCAGAAGACGGGGGAGGGGATGGAGAGGAGAACAAGGCCGGTGCCACGGCAGGTTTCAAACGGAATCTTGTACTTTGAGGACACTTTCAGGAGAAGACGTGAGGACTGGGGTGGCAGCGGGAGAAGTGGGGAGCTGGAAGGGGGGGGGTCTGAGTAACTTGGCAAAAATGGTATCAGTGTGATTGGTTCTAATTGGCTTGGCTTTGGTAGGCAAACATTTATCAAGAAGTTAGTGCAGGAGCCAGTTTAGTTATTTGAAGGGGTATGCTAAGTGAGACGAGAAAGAGGAGTGTGTGTGTGGTGTGTGTGTGTGTGTGTGTGTGTGTGTGTGTGTGTGTGTGTGTAGTTCAGGTTCTGGCCCTAGTGCCCCGGTCTGAATCAGGAGGGGGGCAAAGGGACAGTGGCGATCACGCCTTAATCCAGGGGTCCTCCCCGGCTATTTCTTCTGGGCTGAAGTCTACCCTGTGCGTCCAAGACTGGGGGCCGGAGGGAGGAACGCCGGACCCCGGCGAAGGATGCTGAGCAGGCGGGCGGGCAGCCCACGGGATCGGCCGCGGCCCCCGGCTCCTCCCGCTCGCCGGCCCAGACCGCGGCGGGGTGCCAACAGCTGGCCGCTGCCCCGGGCTCGGAAACTTTCCTGTGCCAGCTAGCTTTCTGCTCGCGGACTCCCGAGGGGAGTGCCAGCACGCCCGCGGGCCGGACCCCCGCCGGCCCGGAGCCCCCTGCGTTGGGGGCGGGGTCCTCCCGACCGCCGCGGACGCTCCGCAGGTAGCAGCCCCGGGGCGCGCCCCCGGCGGCCGCGGGCACCCCGCGCGCGCGCGCCTGGCAGCGGCGGGCGCGGGAGCGGCTCCGCCCGCCCGGTTCCCGGAGGCTGGGCCCGGGGCGCGCTAGGTGAGCTCGGGGGCGGTCCGACCTGACCCCGGAAGAGAAAGTCGTTTTGGGGAAGGGGAGCGCGGAGAGGCGCGCGGGCCGAGTGGGCGCGCACCACGCGGGACTCGCCCGGGCGCCGGCGCCCCGACTGCCCGAGTCCCCCGCGCGCCGCGCCGCGCCCCGGGCCGCGGGGGGACGCGGCGGCCTCCGCCCCCCGCCGCCCGCCGCCCGCCCGCCGGCCGCTCCGGTGCTGGGCGGCTCCAGGTCGCCGGGAAAACCCGGAGCATCCCCCGGCCGGGCGCCGCCCTCGGCGCGCACCCGCGGCCGCGCATGCCCAGTGCGCGGGGCCGCAGTCGGAAGCGGGCGCGGGCGGCGGGGGGCGCGGGACGCGGCGGGCACGGACGCGGCGGCGGCGGCGGCGGCGGCTCCCGCCCGAGTTCCCGGGCCGGCGCGGGTGGCGGAGCGCGCGCGGCGGCGATGTTCCACTGCATGCCCCTGTGGCGGTGCAACCGTCATGTGGAGACCATCGACAAGCGCCACTGCTCGCTCGTGTACGTCCCCGACGACGTCTACCGCTACGCGCGCAGCCTGGAGGAGCTGCTGCTGGACGCCAACCAGCTGCGGGAGCTGCCCGAGGTGCGTGTCCGCGGGGCCCCGGGGACCCTCCAGCGCGCCTTCACCTGCCGCTTCCGACACTCCCGCCCGGCCCGGCCCGGGAAGTTCGCTGGCACGGTCGTGCGGGGCCACTCGGGCTTTGGGGGGTGCTTTTCCCCCCCCCCCCCCCCAAGTCCTCTCCGGAGCTGGGTGCGCTTGGGGCGGGGAAGTCGCGTGGGTGCGCGCCTGGCGCCGGTGCCCCCGGGCAGGCAGGTGGGAGACCAGGTGGCGGGGAGCGTGCCCGGCTGGACGGGACTGGACGGGACGGGACGGGACGGGACGGGACGGGACGGGACGGGACGGGACGGGACTGGACGTGGCGCGCGCTGCCCCGCCCGGGCCCGCCTGCCAGCCCCGCAGCTCGGGTCGCGGGAGCGGCGGCGGCGGCGCGCTCGCGGGCGCCTATCTGGGCATCTGGGCAGGAATGCGCTCCGGGCCTTATCGCGCGGGCCGAGCCTCGGGAGCGCTGGAAGCTGGCCCGCCGGGGCGTGGGCGGGGAGGGCGGGAGCCGAGCTCGGCCCGCCCGCCCGCCGGGGAGCAGTGGGCAGGTGGCCCCAGTGCCCCCCGCTCGCGGCCGGCCGGCCTGCTCGGACCTGTTGCGTGCGGGGAGCGGCGGGCGGCGGCGCGGTACCCGGCCGGCTGTGCGGCCGCCTCTTCTCCCAGGGCACGTCCAGCCCCCCCACCCCTTGCAAGGGATGCTAGTTCCCCGAGCCGTTGATGTAAATCAAAATCAGTCCCTCCGCCGCGGCCTCACCTGTCAAGGACACATCCCGACTGTGCTGGAGTGGACGGGCCCGGGGCGGACTTGCCAAGGACACCTGCTGCTGATGGCGCTTGCGTGGGGCGGCGGGGGAGTGGGGTGTGCCCGGGACTGCGAACTTTTTTCACTTGCCAGCTTGCCTGGGAGAACTTGGCTCGGGTGACTTGCAAGGAGGTAGGAGGGCAAGGCCGGATGATGTACTGCACAGGTTGGGAGAGGCGGAGGACTCGTGAATGTGAGCGATTTCGAACTGAGCTCAGGATCCCGAACTTCTTGGTCGTCCTTCAGCTCACCCCAAAGCCACAGCGTCGTCAGAGAAACCCTTTCCAGGCAATGTTCTTTCGGGTTTGGGATGACCTGATCCGTTCTCCCGCTCCGACCATTTATCTTTTAAAATGCAGAACTGTATTTGATAAACGTATTTTTCTCCACCTTTCGGGTGGCCGTGTTCGTCTTTGGTGAGCTTTCAGTGGTGATGCGCAGCTGATTGGGTGGTTTTGCTCTAGGTAATCACCGAGGTTGTCCTTGTTGGGATACGACAATGCCTTAATGCAGAAAAACCCTCCAGTTCTATCCAGTTATTATTTTCAGTTGTTTTCAAACACATGTGTTTGTCTGGCCTTCACCTTCTGTAAAAATGTCTTGGAAAGTCGTATGTTTCTTAGGCTTTTTGCCGGTGCCGACTACATAGAGTATGTTATTTGATACTTGTCAGGGGCTTTGAAAGGAAGTTATTAAAGATCGAGTAAAAAGACATTTCAGGGAGAAGCTGTTCAGTGCTCTCTCTGCTGTTTTCCCTTTGTTTTGCAGACTCAGAAGGTTTCCTTGGACTGCTTTGGCTTTTCACTGCCTTCTGCCTTCTGCGGATTTTCTTGTAATGTTGGGGAATTCAACTTGGTATGGGAAATTATGGGCTTTGGAAGTGGCAGGTATTTCTGCTGATCCTAAATGGAAACTTCTCGGAAACTCAAAACACAGCTGATCGCACTCTGTGAATACAGTAAATAAGCTTTTCAAAAGCTGGATGAGGTCTTGGGAGTGAATGTTGTTCTCAGAGTTCTGAAATTAGTTGTCTAGTTTTGAGGTTGTGTAAAGATCTGTATTGCCCCGGCTCACTGTGTCTCTGCCTGTGTGCAAACCAGCACAGACGACTGTCTTGAAAACATGTCTTTCACTCACCTAGTCTTTCCTTGTGCCACCTCCGACATCTGTATAACTCATTTGCTCTGTTCACCCTTGTCCTTGCCACCTCCTCCCTGCCCTGTCTCCTCCCTGCCCCACAATAGTGGTCTCTCTCTCTCTCTCTCTCTCTCTCTCTCTTGACAAGCTGCCCAGCTTCTTGTGGTAGTGGGCATACTTGGCTGCAGATTCTTCTCTCTACAGTGTGGAAGCAAAGGATGCCCCCCAAATAAAATTTCCCAAAGGAGAAGCTTGCACTGTCTCTTCCTCCGGCAAAGATATCTCCCACTCCCTCCCAATCCTGGGAGTCAGCATCATGCAAAGTATCACTTACTTTGAAATATCTGTGACTTCCCTCTTTGTTCCAGCCCTGCATTTGACAAATTGAGAGTTTTCAGAAACTGGAGACTTTCCCAGTTGGTTACAGGTAGAATTCCAGATTTCTGCCTCTGTTCAACTGTTCTTCTACAGCTTAGACAGTAGCCAGAATCCGACCTTTACAGCTTTTCACACCTCTTAAATCTTCGGTTAGTTAGCCCCCTCCTATCTTACTCATTTCTTTAAAACTGACCTCAACTACACATTTATTGAGCCTCTATTTTTTGCTGGTTGCTGGGCATTTAGAGCATGAGGTTATGGTTCTTTAACATGGGAGAGACCACTGTTTTTGCTACAGATGTGGTTGTATCAAAACCAAAGCATTGATTGGCAGGAGCAGGCACCACCGTGATCATCTCTCGCATCAGTGGAAAATATAATGGTTATTTGTTAACCAAACCTGTACCACCAGCCTCAGCAGTGGTTCCTTCTGGGGAGATCCTCCCAGGGATGGCTTCCAGCAGTGACCTCGGGTCTGGTCCAGGTTTGATAGTAGATCCACTGATCCTTTCCCAACCTGCATATTTGAGTTGGAGGTGACATCAGAAGCTGAGATCCATCTGTGTGAGGGAACTCATTTTGTCTTTCCCTTTAAGGTCACGGGCACCCCTCTGTCTTCTCAATGGCGTTGACATCATCTTCTCTCATTGTGCCACTCACTCTCAAATGCCTTCGCGTGCATGTTGTTTTTTTTTCTGTGATCTCTCACCAGTCCAGTGCCCTGTCTAGTGGGTAATGCATATTTTTTGAATGAGTGCCATCAAACCCTGTTACCTTAACAACTTGGCACTGTATTTTCTCACCTTCTGCTGTACTATCTATCTCTCTGGCCTCAACTAATAGGGAATTTTAAAACAAAAATTTCACAAGTTTTGTGCCCTTGTATGGGGCCATGCCCCACAGTTTAAGGAGCTAGGCTCTGGATGGCCTTATGTATGAGTAGTGCCATTAGGTGATAGTGCCCCAGATTTGACCAGTCACTCATTTGTTTAACTTCCACAGGGGCAAGTTGAGACATGGAACTACTCCAGAAATCATGTCAGATGACTGGAGTTGCATGAACAAAGATTTCGTGGCAGCTAGTTTGAGAAGAGTGATGGATAGTTGAAGGGGTCACAGAACCCATGGTTGTATAGGCACATCGAATTACAAGAAACCTGTTCCATGGTAGTGTTGGATTTAATATGCTGTGAGAAGCCATTTGATGACTATAAAATTGCGCCACCATCCTCTGTCATATTAAATTAACATTGAGTTCTCTTTTATTGGTTTTCCTCCGACTTTCAGATAGTTTTACCTTAAGGTTTAATAAGAACAAAGGCATAGTAGAGAGACCTAGTTTTCTGCTTGGACACTTAAATAATATTATAATAAAAATAAGGGGAGGTAAAGCCTCAGAAGGAGGACAAGAGGGGCCTTTTTTTTTGTCATGGTGATTCATACATTTCTCAGGTCTGGGAAATAGTTCTCATTTTCAGATATCCTGTTATTACATAGTTTAGTCCTTAATTGTTTTCTAATTGTTGCATGTGTTGGTCCAGCTCCCTCTTTTCTTTTTCCTCTTGTCTCTTTCTTAATCCTCCCCCTGCACATTACAGATGAGGAAACAGATGGAGAGAAGTTGTAATTTGGTCCAGGTTAGACTCTTTGATTTAGAAACATTAAGTATCTGCTACTTGTTAATAATAATTATAATAGTTACCTCTGACTGAGATTCTGCTGAGCTCCAAACATTGTATTAAATCTCTATATAAATTAACTTCTTAAACTGAATAACTGATTTGTGGTGGTGGTGGGGAGGGGGAACCCCCCAAGGAGTGAGGGGGCGAGGGGCAACTTCTGGGAGTACTTAGAGGATTCAATGGTAGAATAGGAGATGGGATGCTGGTGTCCTCCAGGGCAATACCTGGAGGTACTTAGAGCTGGGGTGGGGAATGGGGGTTTATGCCCCTAACTCCTGATGTATTTCCCAGAGTAACCTATTATAGCCATTGCCATTTGGAAGTGCAAAGCTGAGGCTTAAGAAACTGAATCTTAAGAAAGTTATTTAAGTGGCTTATGAGAAACTTGGCCAAGGCCTTTCTGGATGAAGCATTTGACTCTAGCCCCATCTGTCTGCTGGGGAGCCCACCTGGATGTGCTGGTGTTTGCCAGTGTTACACTCAGGAGTTGGACTCTGCACAAGACCTGGACCACCGAATCAGAAGTTTATTGTCTGAGTGCAAGGCTTTAGAGGTGCTGACAACTGACCTGGAAGAAGGGCAAAAGCGTGTCAGTGTGGCGAGAAATCACGTCTTCTAACTAGCCTGCTGGAATGAGAGAGGCCTGAGATGCAGGGATTGGAGAAGGCCACGGGGCAGGTCCTAGAAGGACCTTGTGATTTTGTAAATGTGTTCTATAGACAGAAGTGGCACAAAGACTGTAAGAAGAGGTGCAGTACAGTTAGATTTTTGGTTGAGGAGGAGGAGGAGGATTCCAGAACAGTAGAGAGGAAAACCAGTCAGGAACCTATTGTGGGTCAAGCCAGAGGAAACAGAGAAATCTTCCTGGGGATGAACGGGGAAATAGCTCCTTTGAAACGCCATTGCTTCCTGCTCTCAGGCCCAGTGCTCTTTCTGCCATGCCCCTCTCATGTGCTGACCAGTGAAGGCATTTTTAAATACTA